AGCATATAAGTGATCCATGTAGCTCGCACACTGTCGAAGACATGCTTCTGTATTCGGCTTCCGCGGATGATTTACTAACTGTTGTTTGTTTCTTTATTTTACAGGATATCATTGATGACCCAAGGAAGATGCAAAAACCCATGAGAGACTTGCGAGTCGTTGGACATGAAGCCCAGTCCGAGTCACAAAAAGCTTGGATTTTGAAGTTATTTTCGGCTGGAAAAAACAAACCTTGCTCGGGGTACTGTTTTAAGTATTTGATGAGGTGAAGTGCGGCGTCAAAGTGCGACTTTCTGGGTTATTGCATGAACTGACTTAAATGCTGGGTGGAGTAACATATGTCTGGTCTGGTAAAATTGAGGTAGAGCAGCCATCCAATCAAACGTATGTATTTTTCTGAATTCGGTAAGATCTCACCCTATTCTGTGTTTAGTTTCAATCCAGTTGGTAAAGGAAAATGATTCCCTTTTGCCTCTTACATGTCTGTATCCAGTAAGATAGCTTTAATGTATTTTCTTTGACTGATGTGAATTCCCCCTTTTGATCTGGCTATTTCAACTCCAAGAAAATACCGCGCTTGTCCCAAATCCCTCCCCATGAATGCCTCATCCAACGCCTTTTTTACTTTGCTAATTCCTGTTTCGTCTTGCCTAGTAATTAGTAGATCATCCACGTATACAATTATCGCAATGTAGTTTTCTGCCCTCCCTTTTGTAAACAGGCAATGATCTGCTTCAGATTTAGTAAAGCCAATAGAATTGAGCTTTAAAGTGAGCTCTTTGTTCCATTGACGTCCAGCCTGCTTTAGCCCATACGGGCTCTTAGTTAGACAACAAACGTAGTATTTACCTGCTTTAGTGTAGCCATCTGGAGGTTTTAAATATAGCTCTTCTTCGATGTAACCATGTAAATAGGCGTTGTTTACATCCAATTGGTGGATAGGTCAATCTTTAGCGGCTGCTATGGCGAGGAGTAGCCGAACAGTTACCATTTTGGCTACTGGCGAAAAATTGTCATGGTAGTCGACACCAAATTCTTGGTTGTAACCCTTGGCGACAAGTCTCGCCTTGTATTTATCCACAGTTCCATATGTGTTATACTTAATTTTGTACACCCATTTTGAGTCAATTGCTTTTCTTTTTTTGACAGCAAAGTTAGTTCCCATGTGTTGTTATTTTCTAAGGCATTTAATTCAGAATGCATAGCATCAACCCACCTACTGTCCTCCTTAGCTACCTTGTAAGATTTTGGTTCCTGTATAACCGAAACATGTGCAACAAAATTGACATAGTCATGATTATATGCAGGTGGGGTGGACATAAAAGAATGAAGGTATGTTAATGGTGTTTCGGTTATGTGTGCAATAAAATCCTCCATCCAGGAAGGTCTGTTTCTCACCTTGGTGCTTCTCCTAATTTCGGGTTCTTAAATTGAAATTCTAGTTCAAGTAGGTCAACCTCTCTGCTATTGTTTTCGTCCATGTCTGAAATGGTTATGTTAGGAATTGGTAATGGTGTGTCTTGGTGATCAGTTCGTGGCGATTATGTTTGATATGGGTAAACATGTTCATGAAATATAACATCCCTTGACAGAAATTTTTTTTTGTTGCAAACATCATATAATTTGTATGCCTTGACACCCACTTCATAACCCAAGAAAATGCATTTTATAGCTCGTGCATCAAATTTAATTTATGAGGATAAACGTTTGTAGCAAAACATAAGCAACCGAATGTTTTTAAAAAGGAGTAATCGGGTTGTTTTTTATATAAAATTTCATGAGGAGTTTTTCATCTTAAAATTGAGCTTGACAAAATATTTATTATATATATGGCCATAAGTATGGATTCTTCCCAAAATCTTTTTGGCAAATTGGATTCTTAGTGCTCTAGCGACTTATAAAAGATGGTTGTGCTTCCTTTCTACCACACTGTTTTGTTATGGTGTATAAGTACAAGTTTGTGATGCACAATACATTTCTCTTGAAAAAATTCTTTACATGAGCTATTTACAAATTCAGTGTCATTATCAGTTCAAATAACATTAATTATTTTTTGAAACTGATTGGATACAAAATTGCAAAATTGTTTCAAAACATTTGACACATTTAACTTTTCATTCAACAAAAAGGTCTAAGTCGTTCTAGAAAGATCATCCACCATAGTTAACACATAAGAAGCTCCCGAAATAGATTGAACTAGATAAGGACTCCAAATGTCAGCATATATTAATTTAAACGTATCATTAGTAGTAATATTACTTTTAGGAAAAGGTAAACGTTGTTGTTTTACCAAAGAACATACTTCACAAACATGTAAATCCATTTTGCTTGGAAGATTTAGGGTGAGAATATGAAGTAACTTGTTTATTGAGGTATGTCCGAGTCTTTTGTGCCAAAGTTGCTGGGTGTTCGCTTGAGTGTGACTGGTGCATGCTTTTTCTGGTTCTATATCTCTACTCAGGGTGTACAGACCTTCCTTTATTGTTCCTTTTTTTAATTTTCTGTTAGTCATCAAATCCTGCACAAAACAGTGGTTTAGATAGAAAGAAACATAGGTATTTGAGGCTTGAGTTAATTTTCTGACAGATATTAAGTTACATGTAAATTTTGGTATGTAAAAAACATCGTGTAAGGTTAGGTCATTGCATAGATTTATGGCCCCCTTCTGTATCAATTAAAACGAGAAATTAGTTCAATCACTTAGTCAAATCTTTCTATTGTGACTTATTTTATAAAATTAAAAAGTTTCGGGATGAACTGAGTTATTTGAGACCACCACCTCCGTGTAATTGCAATGTAGCAGCCCTGCCTAATGGGATTGACAACACAAACAACTTGATTCAATTCTTGATGGGTCTGAATGACTCATATGATAATGTGAGAAACCAAATATTGATTATGGAACCATTAGCTACTGTTAACAAAGCCTACTCAATGGTACTCAGTGTTGAAAAGTAAAGAGAAGCGCAAATCAATAATGTAACTGAAGAGATGCCCGCTATTTTTTATGCTAATTCAAAAGATAGTCCAAGACCGCAGAATCGGGGAAAGGACAAAGACAACAGGATATGCACCTGTTGCAAAAATACAAGACACACAAGGGAAACTTGTTTCAAACTCCATGGTTACCCGGAATGGTTCATAGAGCTTAAGGGAAAAATGGCAAAAAAAGAGTGAATGTTGTTTCATATGAGATTTCCAGCGATATCAAGGGCAAAACACCAGTCTCAACAAGCTGGAATGAAGAAATGACTAATATTATAAAACAGGAATCAGTAAAGTAAAAAAGGTGTTGGATGAGGCATTCACGGTGAGAGATTTGGGACAAGCGCGGTATTTTCTCAAAGTTGAAATTGCCAAATCGAAAGAGAAAATTTACATCAGTTGAAGAAAATATATTAAAGATATCTTAATGGATACAAGCATGCAAGAGGCGAAAGGGAATCATTTTCCTTTACCAACTGGATTGAAATTAAACACAGAAGAGGGTGAGATCTTACCGAATCCGGAAAAATACATACACTTGATTGGACGGCTGCTCTACCTCAATTTTACCATACCAGACATATGTTACTCCACCCAGCATTTAAGTCAGTTCATGCAACAACACAGAAAGCCGCACTTTGACGCCGCACTTCACCTTGTCAAATACTTAAAACAGTACCCCGAGCAAGGTTTGTTTTTTCCAGCCAAAAATAACTTCAAAATCCAAGCTTTTTGTGACTCGGACTGGATTTCATGTTCAACAACTCGCAAGTCTCTCACGGGTTTTTGCATCTTCCTTGGGTCATCAATGATATCCTAGAAAACAAAGAAACAAACAACAGTTAGTAAATCATCTGCGGAAGCCAAATATAGAAGCATGTATTCGACAGTGTGCAAGCTACAATGGATCACTTATCTGCTCAAGGACTTCATGATCACGCCTTCCTTGCCCATCGTACTAAACTGCGACAACAAAGCCGCAAAACATATCGCTGCAAATCCAGTGTTTCATGAGCGAACAAAACATCTAGACATAGATTGCCACATAGTTCGCAATCAAGTTCTAAGTGGTTTTATCAAAACAAACTATGTTACCTCGAAAGAACAACTCGCAGATCTGCTCACAAAGCCACTAGGCATAGCAGCCCATCATCATCTTCTTTTCAAAATGAAACACTTACAGATGACAGATTCAAGTATGCGAGTATGACTGAAAAGAGTTACGAGAGACAGCAAGTGTGTTTCATATTGAGGGGTGGCTATAACAACGTTAAAGGATAAGGGTTGAAATGAATGGACAGTGACTATCAAAAGTAGAAAATGAAGGGTCCAGATTCAAGTAATTAAAGTAGCCAGGTTGTTATCACAGCTGTAACATTTTGGCAGAATCTAGAATAGTTTAGAATAGTAATTTATTTTTAATTAGTTAGGTTTTTCCTCTCTCCTATATATAAATGGTGTACATCAATTTACTCAATTGTAGAGAAATACAACCAGCACTAATTATAGAAGGTGCTCTCTCTCCCATTTAGTTTTCAAAGACTAATTTTTAAATATCTATGTTATTCATATTGTAGATTATAATGTAATGAATAACATATATAAATATAATAAAGATTAGGTAAATAGAAAGCATATTGTATTTGTAATGTTGTTCTTTTTTCTTTTATGTCAAAAACTAATTTTTCCTCTTTACTTTGTATTTTTAAGAATGGAGCTCGAATTATATAATTTTTAAACAAGTTAAATTTGAATTAAATTTCAAAGTAATCTCTAAAATATGGTTAAAGAAAAAATATAAAGGTCGTTGTGACTCCATAACCATTTTTGAGGCAGTACACAAATCAAATGCTACAGTAAGATATAACAAGTACGAGGCCCAGATAAAGTTTCATTCGGCCCAACTCTTATATTGAACCGGGTCCGGCCCGATCCAGACTTTTGTATGGGTGCTTAATGTTTCTTTTCGAAGAAGAAACTATGCTGCAACCACAGTTCAACACTGTAGAAAAAACGAATATCTATGGATGACAAATGCTAACCAAACTTGTGTTTGTTTGGATTGCGGGAAAGTGAAAGAAAAAACGCTGACGGAAATATAGAGACCAAGATGGTGTTTACAAGGTTTGTTCTACTTTTACATTTTCTTGCTACATTAAACTACTCTACATGCAACGTTACTGCTCGACGAATTGCCTATTCCAAATTTCACTCCTAACGGGCAATTGGAAAAGATAAAATTCAAGCTCAATCATCTCACTCTTTGAAGATTATTCATGCTGACGTTGCTTAGCTAGTTAATAGCTGTTTTTTCATTTTGTATAGTTACGTATAGTTAGATTGTTAGGAGCTGCTGAGATTGAATGTCAGTAACCGTTTTTTTCTTCTTCTCTTTTTTGTATATAAAGAACACTTGTCCAAACTCTGTTTTCAAGAATAATATGTTGATTCTCTTCTTCTTCATCTAGTACTGAATTTATCATGGTATCAGAGCAGTTGATCCGGCTCTATTAAATTTTTTTTTAAATTTTTTTATTAATTATTGGTATTTGATACTTGCTTTTATAATGGAGAAAAATAGAATGCAAGATTACTGAGAACAGAAGTAACGAAGAAAGGGATCAAAATCCTTTGGTGTTGCAAAACTCAAACAATCCAGGGATGATTTTGGTTACTAATCTACTTACAGGTAACAATTACCTCTCTTGGACACGAGTTATGAAGATTGCTTTAGGTGCAAAAAATAAGCTAGGTTTCATTAATAGTAAACATGTCATGCCTGAGGTTGATTCAACAGATTATGAGAAATGGATTCGAGTAGATTGTATGGTGATCTCATGGATTTTGAATTGTATTTCAAAAGATATACTTTACACTAGTTCAACTAGAGAACTATGGTTGGAGTTGGAATAAAGATTTGGAGAATGTAATGGTCCTTTATTATACCAACTACAAAGGGAAATTGCTTTTATAAGTCACGATAATATGTCTATGGTGCAGTACTTTACGAAGTTGAAAAAATTATGAGGTGAATTAAATGTGTTGATGCCAATTCCACAATGCATATGTGGTGTTTCAAAGGCTGTTGTTGATATTACTACATCGAATAGATTGATTCAGTTCTTAATGGGGCTCAATGACAATATCAGAAACCGAATATTAGTTATGGACCCTCTACCTACAATCAGTAAGACTTATTCGATGGTATTAAGGGTGGAAAAGGAAAGGGAAGTTAACAACAATTATTCAGAACATGTGGAACAGAATGCGATGCTTGCAAGAATACAAAATTATAAAAGAGATGAAAATGCTGGTCAATCAGGCAGATGAGGTAGAGGTTCATTCAAAAAAAGATCAGACTAACATTGTGATCATTGTAATCATGATAGTCACAAAAAGGACAATTATTTTAAGCTGCATGGATAACTTGACTGGTATAAAGAAAAGAAGGAGCAAAGAGCACAAACTGGAAGTAAGAACTACGTAAATGCAGTTGATTCACTATTGGATTTGAATAAAGGATCAGTAAATGAAGAATGAAGTGTAAAATTTGCTGAAATGATCCACGAGGAAGTAGCAAAGTTCATGAAATGAAAGGCTGTGCAGTCTGATATAGTAAACTTTGCTTATTTAAAAGATTTTGCAGGTAATGTTATTTTTCATGCATTGAATTCAATTGAACATTTTGAATTAGAAACCTGGATAGTAGACACTGGTGCATCTAGTCATATGTGTGGATATAAATTTGATAACCTCACTTATTCCAGTAACCAAACCTACACCAGTTTGTTTGCGGGATGCTTTCATTAAAGTTGTTCACCATACAGAAACTGTACCTTTAATTGAAAAACTTGTCTTAACTGATGTCCTTCATATATTTAGCTTCAAATTTAACCTGTTATCTGAAACAGCTTAGATAAAATTTATTTTTTTATCCAAAATATTATATTTTACAATATCTGAAAAATGATGAAATATTGGCCGTGGGAAGAATAATGTCCAGACTCTATATTTTGGACAAACAATCTTTCTATCTAGAGACTATTGAATCTTTTTTACTTTCTATGACTAGATTTACCAAAATTCTTTTTTCTACTCCTGTTGATCATTCTGGTGCTAGTTCTGTTACAAATAATTTCTTCTTATAGTATCATAGAGTAGGATATATCTCTATTGCTGTCATGGATCACTTGCCTTTTCTAATAAAAGTCATAGGAGCAATAAAGCTTGTGATATATGTTCAATGTTTAAACAATAAAGACCCCCTTTTCTTGTTAGTACCAGTTTTTCAACAAGGATTTTTGAGCTTCTGCATGTAGATATTTGGGGTCCTTATAGAACAGCTACCATATCTGGTGCACATTTTGTTTTAATAGTTGTTGATGATTTTTGTAAAATTACTTGGACTTTTTTATGAATTATAAAACTCAAACAGTTGGAATTTTACAAAATTTTTTTTACATGATCAAAACACAGTTTTCAACTAATGTTCAATAAGTAAGAACAGATAATGGAGCTGAATTTTTGAGTCATAAATGTCAAATATTATTTCAAAATTCAGGAATTGTGCGTCAGAAATCATGTGTTTATACTTCACAATAGAACGGTGTTGTAGAGAGAAAACACAAACATTTATTACAAGTTGCAAGATCATTGATGTTTCAATCAGCTTTACCAATTAAGTTTTGGGGTGATGCTATTCTTCCGGATACATGTATCATAAATAGACTGTCAAGTTCAGTTTTAATGTGGAAAACACCATTTGAAATGCTTTTTCAAAAACTTTCAGATTACACACATCTAAAATGTTTTGGTTGTTTGTGTTATGTTACTAACACTCGTCCAAGAAAAGATAAATTTGCAAAAACAGTCTTTACATGTATATTCATTGGCTATGCTCGTGGACAGAAGGCATTTAAGGTCTATGACGTGGATAGGAAACAAGTTCTTATTTCCAGAGATGTAATTTTTCATGAATATGAATTTCTTTTCTGTACTTATCCTTTTGATCTTGTTGATACTCCATTACCAAACATTCCTTGTGTCATTGATGATCATATACAGACACTCTTAATGAGCATATGCATACTCCGACTGCTTCTTTTAATGATACTAATTCATATTCTTCCTTGACACCACAAAGTGAACTTGAACCTTTTTTAGAAGAAGCACCAGAAATCGTACACAACCAACCTAGATGAATGATTATGTCTCAAATGTGGTGAATGAACAAAATTTGACTCATGCCAAGAAGCAATCTAATTCTGATCCTGTAAATCATTTTGCCTCCAATTCTCCATATACACCTAATACATTTTCTTATCATACAAACACATGTTTTGCATCCACATACATAGATTTTTTGGCCAATATTACTACTATTAAGGAGCCGAATTCTTATGATCAAGTGAAAACCGGTGTGGAATAGATAATTGCTATGAAACAGGAATTGGAGGCACTTGAAAAGAATCATATCTGGGATGTTGTTGACTTACCTGCAGGAAAGAAACCCATAGGATGCAAATAGCTTTACAAAATAAAGTTGAAACAAGATGGTACAATTGACAGTTATAAAGCTAGATTGGTAGCCAAAGGCTACAATCAGCTTGAAGGAGTTAATTACACTGAAAGTTTTTCACCATAGCTAAGATGGTAACTGTTCATTTATTTCTTGCACTTGCAGCTTCTCATTCATGGTCTTTACATCAATTAGATATTAACAATGCATTTTTGCATGTTTACATCGATGAAGAGTTATACATGGTGCCATCTAGTGGCTATTCTAAGGCTGGTCTTGGTAAAGTTTGTAGACTTAGACGTTCATTATATGGTTTGAGGCAAGCTTCACGTCAATGGAATTATGAGCTCACAGTCCAATTGTTACAGTATGGTTTTACTTAGTCAGCTAATGATGCATGTTTATTCATTAAGTCTTCAGCCATTGATTTTCTTGCTTTTTTGGTATATGTTGATGATGTTGTTCTTGCTGGAACATCAGAGTTTACTATCAAAGATATGGGCTATGCACGATATTTGTTGGGGTTGGAGATTGCTCGTTCAACTGAAGGCATCTACGTTAATCAAAGAAAATATGCTTTTGATCTCTTAACCGATGTAGGTCTGTTAGGTGCAAAAGCAGTTGTTACTCCATTTCCTAAGGCTCTCAAATTATCACATGAAGATGCTGGTGAAGTACCTGATCCAGACAGGTATAGAAGATTAGGAGACAGACTTTTATAATTAGGCTTCACTAGGCCTGATCTTGTCTACAGTGTTCAACATTTGAGTCAGTTTGTCTCATGCCAACAACACTGGGAAACTGCTATTCATGTGCTTAAATACTTGAAGAGTTGTCCTTCAAAAGGTCTGTTCTATCCATCAAACAGTAAGACATCTCTTGAAGCTTTTTGTGATGCAGACTGGACATCTTGTGTAGACACCAGACGTTCTTTGACTGGTTATTCAATATTTTTTGGAGCTTCATTAATTTCCTGGAAGACCAAGAAACAATCTATTGTTTCTAGATCTTTTGTTGAAGCAGAATATAGGAGTTTGATATTAACAGTATGTGAACTTAAATGGATTGACTCCTTGCTGCGTGATTTTCACATTTCCATTCCTTTGCCCATTCCTCTTTGGTGTGACAATTAAGCTGCATTGCATATTACCACTAATCATGATTTTTACGAATGAATAAAGCATATTGAGATAGGTTGTCATTTGGTTCGGGATCAGTTTAAAGCAGGTTTTGTTGCTTTCAGTCATGTTTCTTCCAAGCAGCAGGTTGCAGACATCTTTATTTAGTTATTGCCAGCACCATTATTTCAGCATTTATTTCTAAGTTGGGCTTGATTGATCTTCATCAAGCTCCAACTTAAGGGGAGGATGAAGATTATTTATGCTGATGTGGCTTAGCTAGTTAATAGTTGTTATTTCAATCTGTATAGTTACGTATAATTAGTTTGTTAGGAGTTGTTGAGCTGGGATGTCAGTAACCATTTTTTCTTCAAGAATAAAAAGTTGATTCTCTTATTCTTCATCTGGTACTGAATTTATCATTCTTGTATTGACCCTGTTTTACAAGGTAATTAAATATTGCAATCCCATCACATATTCACATGTACTGAACTTTAGTTGATCTTGTGAGATAATTTAGCATGATTAATAACTGTCTTGCCCACAATGCAAAGGTTACATTGGGTATGGGGTATTGCCAAAAGAGATTAGGGAGCTCTAGATTGAGTTCGATGATGCTGGATGCCATCATCACATTGCACTGCGATTTTTCTATTTTTTAAGAGTACGTCAGGACCTGTGTAGCATATATATTCAAATATACTGAATGAGGAGAAAAAGGACGTTTTGCACTATCACATTGTCTTTTAGGATTAAATGTAGACTCTGGAACCATCTGGAACAAAGGGGTTCTAATGTAGACTGGTATTTGATGATATGGATCATGATGTTGATTTGAAGTTTCATTCATGCAATAGATTTATGAGAAATAAAAAGTTTATTCTAGATTGAAAAAGATTCCGGTTGTTCTGCTACAGAGCACAGCTGCAAAAGTGCAATATGCTAATAAAATTACAAAAAATATATTTAAGTTCTTTAGTATTTTAATTTAACTATGACTTGCTCCCAATCTACTACAGTAGCAAAAGAAGTTCTTCATAATCTCAAGGAAATATGCACACACAAACACAGAGTAATTGACTTTTGACTTGAACAGGTTTTGCATGAATCCGAAGGACAGAACCCTGGTTCTATTATGCTGTTGGCATGACTGTTTCAAAAGCTTCTACAAGTAGAGCTACTTTTCTTTTCCGAGCTGGATTTAATCTCGAAACAACTTGTTGAAGTGCATAATCAAGCATCCATTCCTCTGCAAGTTTCCTGTCTTCCATGCTTTGATGCTTTAGATGAACCTTTTCTGCTTCCGGATCTGAATTCAGTGGCAAAAATCGTGGCTCCGCAGGATTGAATGATTTCAGCGGTTGCGGATCCACAGGTTTGAATTTTCTTACTTTCTCTAGTGCCTTGACAAATCTCCTAAGCATGATAGCTTTTTTCAGATTGCTCCAATTTTTTTGAGGTTGTAGCTTTGATTGATCTTCAGCCTTCGGCTCTGTTTTTCTGTCTATGCAATTGATGATGTTGTAAGATTCATGAGATCTTTCCTTCAAATCCTTTGCATTATTCTGCATATAATTGGGGTTTGATTCTCCTAAGCTATCTTTAGAAGTATCTGCTGACGTTGAGGTTAAGAATCTCTGTCCTTCAGCATATGTCCTCTCATGTACCCTCTGATCTGAATGTAGGTCACCATTGATTGAGTGATCATCAGGACAATCATCTTGGATGTCTGGAAGAGGAATTTCATCAATGGCCTTTTCTACCAGCTTTATGGCTTCAATGTGGTGGAGTTCCATCTTTTGACCATTCGCTTTACAAGTATCCATATTAATATCCCAATCTTTCTCAAAAACAACTGACTGGCCATCAAAATTTCTCCTTTGCAGGGATTTGTTATCATCATTCTGTTCTTCCTTTCTTGCTTCTTCAGGTGTTGTTTGGATTCCATCTTCTGTATAATTACCTGACGACAGGTGCTTATGTATCAAGTACCAGAGCCTTTTATACCTTTGTTTTTCCAATTTGGTGTCATGTCCTGCATCAGTGGTATGATGGGATTCGCATTCTTCAAGTGGAAGAGACTCTGGGGGGAATCCACAGTAAGGCCTATCTCCTTCTTCATTTGGTGCTTTCAGTGTTCTGTGTTTATTGTGTTCTTCACCAATTGTACCAATTAAACTAACAACTGACTTAGACCTGTTTGGATTAAATTCAGAAGCATTTTTATTGGCTTCTAATCCAAAAACTAAACTTTCTTCTCCAGGAACTTCACTAAGTTTTTCCTTCGTTGGGATTTCCTCAGCAGATCTACCTCTTGCAGAGGATTCATCCTTCAGCATGAACTCCTCAGGAACTGATGAATGGAAATTGACGGGTTCATCCTCATCATCTGTGAGCATAGAATTATTCTTCACATCAACATGACAAGAAACTGGAACATCCTCCTCTCTTATCAAGTCTCTGTCATTGATCCCAGAAGCAGAAATGGATGGTGCTTGTTTATTTAAACAACACTCAGAATTTTCAGTTTTAATCTCTAGACATGCAGTTGGAATATGCTGCTTTGTAGTGCAGGAATTACTAACTTTACTCAGGGTCTCTTTCAAACTAGTCTCATGATGCAATATCTTTTCATGAAAGATCCTCAAAGTTTTATCTGCTCCTATTCCAACACCTGTTTGAACAGGAGAATGAATACAAGCTTGAAAAGGAGTTCCATGAGAGGATGCTTCTGTCTCAGGCCTTGGAGAATATCCTACTTCAGGAAGTGGCATGACAGTTTCAAAAGCCTGAACGAGGAGAGCTACTTTTCTTTTCTGGGATGGAGCCAGTGTTGTGATAACCTTTCGAAGTGCATAATCAAGCATCCAGTCTTCACAATTTTTCCTTTCTCCCTGGGTCTGATGCCTGAGATGAATCTTTCCTGCTTCTGGGTGAGGCTCCACGGATAGATTGCGTGGTTTTCTTGGATTAATGTTTTTCATTTTTTCTAAGGCCTTGACAAATCTCTTGAGAATAATCAACTTTTTCAGGTTGCTCCAGCTCTTGGGTGTTTGTTGGTTAGATTTGCTTCGGCCATTTGATTTTGATTTTTCTTCAGAGATAATAGCATTTTTAACTTCATGCTCCATTTCATCGCTGCCTTGTGCTTCACTGTCCATAAGAGAGCTGAAGGAAGTTGAACTGCTCAGTCCACCTTCGCCACAATTCCTCAATTCAAGTTCCTGTTCTGAATTCATCTCACTTTCAATTGATTGATCATCAGATGACTGATCTGGAATTTCTGACAGAATCTTGTCAAATGCCTGTTGAACGAGCTTAACTGCATCACTCTTAGTGAATTCAATCTTCTTGCCAGTTGCATCTTGATCTTCCATACCAATAATATGATCAGATCCAGAGAAGTCCTCACAAGAGCCAGAACTATTCCCTCTATGCATTTCGTGCATATCCTTCACATGGTTTTCCTCATCTACCTGCAGTGTTTCTCCTTCTGCAGTGAGACCTGTTACCATATGCTGATAAATCAGATGCCAAAATGCATTACTTTTCTGCTTTTCCATTTTGGCTCTGGAGGGTAGATTATTGGTAAATGTCGACAAAGAGTTTTCAGAGATAACAAGCACACTCTCTGCCTTAGAATCGTCTTTCTTTTCTTCTCTGGAAAAAGATGGTTGCTCCATCGGCTCACTGACATCAGCAGCAGCTGGACTGCGGGTTGATACTCTCTCACTGGGTGGTCCACCTGAGGAAGATACACTGTCAATGGGAGTTTCTTGATATACAGCATCTATACTTTCGCAAGTCTGAACTCCTTTATTCTTTTTAGCAGGACGCCTTGACTTAAGTGGAACTCGATTTTCAGGTTTTATGCTTTTCTGAGTCTTCAATACATGCCTTCGCATTGATACAAAGCGCTTCAGTGGAGGTACAGTGGCATGCCGATGGCCATGAAGAGAACAGTAAGTATATGGACAAACCTTTTTGGCTGAAACTCCTTCGGATTCGTTTCTTGCTAGTTGAAGCTTACTGCGATCATGCAACCTGGAGTCTTTAAGAGCTGAAGAACATGTAGCTTGGTGAACGTTTGAGTGTTGACTGGGATGAACCTTCGATTTCAAATTAGCCATTCTAGTTATGGTCCTTGAAGATCTCAAACTCGGGCTTTTTTTAAGACCCCTTAAAGACTTGTTTCTAGCAAGAAGGATCTTTGGTTTTGCAATCCTTGTATTTTTCCAATCTTGATCACCATTAATACTGAACTCAGGAAAATGGGAAATTTCCTGAAACTGAATCTTTCTTGAACTACAAGAGATTGCCACCTCAGAATAGTGCGCCGAAATTTCTGCATCACTATATGTTCTTGAATCCTGATCGCATCCAGAACCATCATCTTTGCTCCTATATGTTCTTGAGCTTGCAAAATTTGCGAGCTTTACTGATCTTGCCTTCTTCAATCTCTTCTTCGGGTCAACTCCTCCTCGCAATTTCCTCACGACAGGTCTCTTGAGTTTCTTGCTAGGCATTCTTGTTATAGTTTTTGTAAGCTTTAGACTAGGTCGTCTTGTCAAAATTCTGAGTGCTGCTACCTAATCAAAAGAAACATATTGGTGTTAAGCAATTCTACTTTCACCTTCTTTTCCATGCTTTGACAAAACTTTTACCTTGAATTACTACTCCTAACCCAAGAGTAATTGCAGAATTATTGGACTTACCTGGTGATTCTGGTAAATAAAATTGGACGATGAATCTGATATCTCCACTGGAGTTAACTCGTCCGAACTTGCGGCTGCATATCTAGGTAAACCACCACGAGGGCGACAAACTGGAGAATTGCCCCATTTTTTGCTTGATTTTAAGCTTTTGATTGATCTCAACTTCTTAGTTTTCTTCATTGGTTCTGTTGCTCGTCTGTTTCTGCCACCATCAGAGTTTTCAGCAATCGACTCAATCTCCACCATCAGCTCCTTAGATTTCTCACAGTTTCTTGAATCTGCTTCTTGGGCAACCTCGTTTGACATCATTTTTTTCAATCTCTACACAACTGAAGATATGGGTTCCTCTGGATTGAAAGAAACAAGAGAGCTTTGAAGATGGTTATATCATTGAGGTGAGCTTTTCTCTCTTCTTCTTTTGGAGCCTTGTTTCTTCTCAGTTTGAGAAATAAAAAACTGGGTTTTGGAGGATTATCAGAAAACTCTTCTTGGTAATCTATGAATGAGCTTTATGAAAACAAAAAAAAACTATTGGGGATATCTAAGAAAAAAAGTGACATTTCAAAGTTTGTGTTTGTCTTCACCGGTTGATTTTCTAGTGTCAACTTCATATGGACATTGTTATGGGCTACATAACTCATCACATTTGGGAACTTAAATGACTGCTAAAAGCAATTGACTTGTTCTTTTCCTTTTTTTGGGAATAAAATAATAATTGATCCTTCTTGACTCGACCTGTAGGTAAGCTTTGGATGACAGGAAGCTTCATAATTATAAAATTGTGTAATCAATTATTTCTTTTCTTCTGAAAAAGGAAATAAAAATAAATGTATAGAAGATTTTTATCTATGTAATAATAATCTTTTACGTCGGAAGTTACGTTATGTGATTTGGAAGAATGTTCCCCATAAATATTATTTATCTTACTGCATAATTTTCCAGGTTGTCTCCACTCTGTGTACATTTGCTTTGACTAATTATATATTTTGCAAATGTGAACACATTTTTATCTTTATTAACATTTGAACCCTATTTTCCTCTAAAATCACTGCAATTATCCTGAATTTTTTTAGATTTTAAGGTTAAAGGAGGTGTCAGCACCGACTGGAACAGGAACAGACGCAAAACCGCGTTGCTTTGTTCAGTTTTAACATGGTAGAGTGGGACCCGCTTGATTCCCAAGCGCAATCATCGGCGATCGGACGGTCTTGATTCGAGTCCTTTCTTTGTTCTATATCATTCTAGAATAGATCTAACCACCGAAAAAATCATTCTTACTTTTCGTTCTCTTTTTATTTTTATTGAATAAAAAACAGTCAACAAATAATAAATATTTTTACTATATTTAATTAATTAAATTACGTGAAAACATGCAAGTAATAATTATCAGATATCATATGCATAGCCCACAAAAGCGTCCAGCAAAGCATTAACTCTTTTACTCAATAATTTCAGAGGCTCCTTTTCTTGACATTATTTGTCTTTGAATTAAGAGAAAATGGAAAAAAAAAAAAAAGAATTATAAATTTCTGTGAAGTCAGGGGGCTGTTTTTTATGGTAGCGAAACAAGAAAGGCCAGTCAGGAGACCTACAAATAACTCCTGGGCTCCAATTAAGAGTTTTGGGTTAGAGCCCGTGTCAATTGGAATCTGGGCCTTGTGTCCTTTTTAACCCTTTTGAAACAGTTTGTTTGGACGATGAATAATTAATACGCGGTATGTTAATTTTATCCTGTTTTGATGGTATTTGGTGATAAACTATGTTTTTTGTTTTTGTTCAGATTTTCCAAACCACCGTTTAGTGATTTTTAATGGTTGAATATTTTTCTACCCTCATAATTATTTGTTGATTTCCGTTTTACCCTTAAAACTCAAATTTTGTTTTTCCTTTACCCCGACCTGCTTCTTCTTTCTTCACCGCAGTCGTCCTCGTGTCATCTGATTCTGCTTCTGCTTGTTGCGATCGTCTCCGTCGGTGTTAACTTGCTTCACCTATCCTTCTTTCAGTTAAGGTATGTACTGATTTTTGTGGTGGGTAACGATTTTTTTTTTTTTTTTTTATAATTAGTTTAGTTTATAGTTTATAATCTGTGAAATTCAAAAGTTTCTTATTGTTCCTCTTTAATAGTTGAAATTTGTTAGGACTAAAAAACCCTTTATACACAAACACTTCATTTGCTCAATTGTATGGAGAAAGGAAAGGGGACATGTTGCTTTAGTTTTAGAGCAATTACAATTTCATGGAATAATTATCCCATGAACGAAACGAGGTAATGAATATTACATCAGTAATAGCCATTACAATAAGAATATATTCAGATATTTTCTGCCAACCAAATAGGCTGTTAATTACCTAGGTTTATCCCTATACGCGTGTACTTGTTAGCAGAATTGGG